TTCTATCACTACTGCTGTGGAGAATAATGACTCTATAAATTTTTCTACAACAGAGCATTTTGCATCAAATCATTCTGAATGACTGATGACTGTTTGTATCTTAGCCATTTAATTATGCAGAAATTTTGAAAAATCGGTGGAATTCCCCTTTCATGAAGACCTGGATGCGGTTTGATCGGGGTTCATAGAGAGTTTTTGGGGGTGCATTTACAGAAAAGATTTTAGGTGATTACTGACTTCTAGTTTTTGTTAGCAACGTTAGCCTAAAGAAGCTAAATTTGAACGAAACATGTCTTGGCTGATCGAGTACACCTGAGGTAAATGGAAAACTGCGTAAATTTGATTTTTTGACCAAACCATTCTTTTAAGTGAAATGTTTCACTCATTTTAAAGCTTAACAGTTTTTAATGAAAAAAAATCAGATCAGTTTCGGCATCTCTTTCACTTTTGTTAATGATAATGATATTGTTTCAATATTGTTAACAATAGAGGAAACAAAAAAGGGGCATCATGCCATCTCTACTTTCTTCTATATCACGTTAGCTGTTTTTGCATTACCTGCCCATCCACATGCTGGCCTGACAGGACTGTGCAGAGGAAAGCTGTCCAGAGGCGCACTCAGCGGCGCCCTCTGCTGCCAGCACTTCAGCTGCTTGGCTGGTGATGTCTCTGTAAAGCTGGATAAACTGGTACAGGTTCATAATACGGGAGGCCTCCACCATACCATCCTCTTTATTAATCTGAAATTAAACAAACAGATGCCTTTATGCCAGAGGCAACATGCCCATAATTCTACAGCAAAGGAACACACTGATGACAGCAGTACAACCCAGTTTTAACGGCACAAACACAAGACAATATAATTAGAAAGAAAGATGTAACTCATTTTGAGTGGTTTGATGTAAAACAAATCATTGTAGAGAAACTTATCAACTCAGATTTCTTTACAGTGGTGATGATAGGAACTGGGGCTCATGATGTCAGCAACACAGCCATTTTATTTACTGTGCAAAACCATCAGTGGCTCTACACATGTCTGCTGAGTTTTATAAGTTGATATTGGTAAAATAGTAGTAAATCTGGAAAAAAAAAACATTTTCTTTGGGCACTATTTTACCCTACAACACTGTGCATGTACTTCTGTGCCATAAATGCATTAAAAATTGTTTTAGAACAAAACTGCATCTCAAAACTTGTTGAACAAATTCTCATACAGCAGGCAGCGTATTTATTACCATTTCATGTATTACTTTTCTAGGAGGTAGATTTTAGATGCATAAAATGCTTCAGACATCTTGTTCCCATCACCCCTACTGTGAATAATTCTGATTTAGTAAGTTTCTCTAGAATGAAGCTTTTCATATCAAACCACTCTGAATGACTTTGTTTACATCTTAATCATTTAATTACGCAGAAACGTGAAGGAAAAAAAAATCAATTGAACAGCCCTTTTACGTTTTGCAGTAGGACTGTATATCATATAAACACAACATGAATAATAAAATGTTGAATAACTAAGTAATGCACACAAAACTCTGGAGTAACTTCACCTTAGTGCACACTATCCTCACAGCCACTTTCCACAGAGCAGATGAATCAGATCCGGGCTGAACTTCAAAAAGGAGATGCTTCTGTTGGCCAGCTGCCAGCTTTGCAGTTCTGACAGGTGTAAAATCAAAGAGTTATGTGATTTAACTTTTGATTAATGTCCATTACTTTTCAAATTATTTTATGAAAAAAAAACTTATTGCAGCACTAAAATAAACGTTGACAGTCTTTGCATCTGATGGAAAGAGGGATCATATTTACTGTACATTTATTATGTTCATCTTTTAAGCCCAATCCTACAAACTGAACATAGTCCTCCAACTACATGTAATAATTTCAAATACACAATTCTGTGTGTTACATCATTTTATTCAATTTATGATATTAAAAAAAGAAAAAGTAGGAATGTCTCCATGGCTGTTTCGGCAGGCACGTTGATCCACACCTTTTCAAATCTCACTTAATTAACAGGCTTGACAAAACATAGCCATGGACACATGACTCATACAGCACAGCGATTTCAGCAAGTGATCACATGCTAATGGCACATCTTAAAACAAAGAGTTTAAAAAGGAGAACAAAATTAATTTAAGAGTAATTTGAGCATTACATTCTACAGCTTATGTGTGGCCAAAAACACAAATCCAGACAGTACTTAACTCACTTAATTTGAGATTAATTAAGATGCCTACTCTCACTTAATCTGAGACTGAGCTGGGGGAGTGTCAGCTGACTTAATTTGAGAGTTAGTGAGTTTATTCAAAAAATATTCTCAGGAATTGCCGCTTACACCTCATTAAGTTCTGCTACTCTGCCCAGGAACTCCTCGTAGGTGAGGTAGCCGCTATCCCTCACTAGTCCGGCATGCTTGACCAGCTTCTCAGGCAGTTTGCTGATGACTGCCTGGCCAGAGATCTGCTGGCCCATCTCAGCTCCGCGTGGAGGCACACAACAAGAGAACACTAGACCTCATTCAGCACTCAAGGCCCTGCAGGGGGGGGGGAGAAAAAACAAAAGGAGAAAAAAAAATGATGGAAGGGCTCACATCAAAACTGTCCAAACTGTCAAACCTGGAAATGTTTCCTCAAACTCAGATTGAAATGACTTTTATATTTGGAAAACAGTTCATGCAAATGTGATATTTGGAAAATAGAGAGTCTTTGTCTTAGAACAAAAGGGTCAGCTGAGATTTCACTGTGGTTATATAATACAGTGCCATTTGGCCACAACAGACCCCCACTGCCCCACACTCGGTGCATTGCTCTATAAACAGTAATAATACAGTAAGAGGAGTAACAGAGACTGTAGTAAGTTGCATTAGCAATAAGCTAATTACTGTGTCAGAGTAAGACTAATGTTGGGATATTCTAAAACACTTAACATCAACGTTAGAAAAGCTTAACATGACTTAACGTATAAAATGACGCTAAACCTCTCTCACTTCCTACTGGTCATGAGTTTTCTCTACTGCTGAAAGAGTGAACCTTGACGATGAAGCTTATCCGAAAAAAGCAAAGGTCTATAATCCATAAATGTTTATGATCCATAAAAATATGACTTCTTTTTGGATCATAGGTTCATCCATCCTTTCGGCAGTAGAGCGTACTTACGACCGGTAGAGAGTGAGAGAGGTTTGGTATTCCTAGGTTGTTGTTTTAGTACGTTAAGCGTTTTACAATGTCCTGTAATGTTTTAACCTCCGAGTTACAGTAGCTAACTTAGTTAAACAACTAGCGTTAGCTAAGTGTTACTGTAACTGCTCAGCTTGACACTAACATCATTCAGACCAGCGATGGCCTTGAAATGGACACCGACTGCATGTTAAGATTACCGAGACACACCACCGAGCGAAATTATGAATCAAATGATAATCCACGAAACTAACAAATGATTTAATAACCCGCACTGACTGGACACAAACAGGCTAGCAGTTAGCAAAACAAGAGAATAAACTTCTGTAAACCGACGTAACATAATAATAATTACAGACTGTAGCTTCATGCATAACATACAGGGAATATCCAAAAGAAAGTACAGTATTACAGACCTGTTGACATATGATTAATCCAAGAAAAGACAGCAGATGAAGTCAGCGCTGTGAGCAGCTAGCTTAGCCAAGGAGCTACTTAGCTAATTACCAAACACTGACGCTCATTGATGACGTAAACAGCACAACTACGTGCGATTTCATCCAGCAGTTCTAACATAAAGATGAAGATATGAAGCTTAAAGATGTGATTGTTGGTTTTAATTGTAGCGTATCTTAATTTTGTTTTGAATCAGTTGATCTTTTTGGGAAATAGTGCTTACACAAGACAGACTTTGGTAAATCCAAGCCTCTCCTCAGTGTTTTCTTAGTTGAATATAATGTATTTATTGTCTCTTAAATGCCTTAGCAATAAAAAGCTATATCTGCTGTTAGGTATATGAAGGATTTAAGTTTGTTAAAAGAATGAAAGTGTTGTTATTGTAGTTTTTTATTTTATTTTATTTTATTTTAACCTTTTTCTTGTGTTTAGTTGATGTTGAAAATATATGTCTGTAGTTTATCTTTAATATGAATGTCCATGTTTGCAATATGCATGTTAATAAAAAAGTTTACCAACAGGAATTAAAGAGACGAATGTAAATGCTGTTATTTAGTTCATAACACTTTCAGAATTGCAAAATTGTTCATCCACGGAAGTAGACTTAGTGTTTATATAATATGATAAATGATTATCGTAAGTATTGAGTCAACCGCCCTTGTGTTTTTTAATTATTATTATTACTTTACATGTATTTAGATTGTTTTCTATTTTTACTTTGATGTAACCATCTGTGGTCATTAGTCCAGTCATTCTGATTGGTCACTTTTATCTCTCTGAAGCTTAGCAGATGTTTAACAAGTACTGTATGTCTTATTTGTATGTATTTGAATAACACCATTAACATAAAAGGAGAACAAGCTTGAGTTACAGTAGGATATCCACCACCCTGAAAACACTATGTATTATTAATAGCATCTTTAGTAAGACTGTGCTGTTAGTTTACATGTGAAACTGAACAGGTGGCTCATATTTCCATCATTACTGTATGTCTGTAAAAATCTGTTCAGAATTTTGTTATAAATGTGTACAATATGCATATTGCATATGTAGCCAAAACCACATAAATTTGACATTTTTGTGAGAAATAACAAAGCTGACCAAATTAAAGCTTTTATTACTTTTATTTCTTAACACATTTAAAAGTTAAGGAATTCATAAAAAAGTAAAAGAAAAACTAAATTATTAAAATTAAGTAACAAAAATGTTCAGAGCTACTATTACTTAATCTTTAAAGACACAATGATTGTGTTTTATATATATATATATATGAGACACTTGAACAGATCTCATCTACATACAATGGCACTAAGCACCTTCACAAAACGAACAAAATGAACAGCCTATTTACAGTCTTTACAATCCCTAAAGCTTTAATGTTAACTGCTGGCAGAAGGACTCTGGTCTTAAGAAGATTCTGTGTCTTCTTCTAGCTGCAGAGTTATATCTTCTGAAGAGCTGCTCTTCTCTTTCTTTTTGCTGGAACTCTGCTGGTCTGTGTGCTTCCACATCTCTACAGCGTCTTTGTGTCGGATTCTGACCCACGGTGGGAGACGGTGTGCTCGTTTACTGAAAGAGAGAAGACATAGGGAACATCAGGTAGTGACGTGTAGACTGTTACTGTGTTGGACAGTTCCTGCTGTTTTATCACAGGTTGCTCAGCAACAGTTATTACAGCATGTTGCATATCTACGTACATCTTAAAGTACCAAACTGCACCTGCTGCTGCCATCAGGACGAGCATAACAGCAGTGATGACACATGCCATAGGAACTTCTGCAGGAACAAATAAGTCATCAGTGCTCTTCAGTACACAGTAAGGAAAATTAAATATATACAGTGAAATGACGTTTTATTGTTTTTTTAAGTGAAAAGAAGTTAACTCAAATAAGGGAACTCAAATAAGACGTTTTCCCTAATATGTTAAATTCAGCAAATAAACAGTAACTATTTTCAGTACATAAAACCTACACAAATTTCATAAGTGGACCTTGGGGAAAAATGTAATACAAGCAAAATGTAAGATGTGGGCCCTTTAAGCTTAAACTCAATTCATATGAATAGAGTATGAACTGAATTGTTATTGAACTCAACCTCCAAAGGATGCTCTGGGTGGTGGTTGTGGGGGCTGTTCTGTCTGATTAGATGTAGGGGTGTTTAGAGAGGAAGAGTAGGTGAACGGATCTGTGGAAAGAATGGTAGAGGAGAAGGTCGCAGCAGAAGAGGAGGTGGAGGAGGTGGAGGTGGAGAGTGGTTGCAGAGCAATAGAGGGTGAGACTGAATGGGGGCTTCTTATAGCTGCACTGCTGACAGTGGAGTGAAAGAATGTGGATGATACAGAGGTGCTGAAACTAGAGGAAATGGACGTGGAGGGAGAGAGGAAGTTTTTGTTAAATAGAGTAGACTGAATGAGCGATGAGGAGGTTGCTTTAGCTTGAGGGCTGCTGCCAACTGGCGTTGTTATTCTTGGAGTGGTGAGTGTCGTTGCTTCACTTTGACCTGCAGGAAATGTTAGCATACACATCTAACATTAGAAAATAGAGTGTCTGTGTTGCAACCTTAAAAGAAGAGTACATCCAAATTTGCAAAATTTTCCATTTACTCTAGATGTAGACAATGAACCAAGACATGTTGGTGTCCCCATTTGGCTTATTTAGTTTAGCACTGGAGCTATGAGGCTAACATGTCTAACAAAGTCTAGAAATCAATAGCCTCCCAAACCATTTCTGTAAATACATCCCCAAAACTTCTCTCAATCCACCCAAAACGCCTTTGGGTTCATCAAGGTCTTTTAGAAAAGTTCATTTTTATAGTTCACAGTAAATCATACTGGGGATGTATAGCATCGGGAATGTATTTTTGGAAAAGATTTGGGTGACCATTGACTTCTAGTGTTGGTTAGCAATGCTAGCCTCATGACTCCAGTGATAAACCAAAGAAGCAACAGTAGTCGATCAGCCAAATCATGTTTTGGACTGACTATTTCTGGTGTAAGTTAATAATTGTTTAAATTACATTTTTCCTTTAAAATATTTAAGGAATATCATCATAGCTTCAAAAATGCAGCCTTCAGAGGACACTGTTCAATTTATCAAAAAATCATGTTTAATATCTGCTTATTAAATATTTCATACACTGTATTCAGAATTTGTGTAAATTCTTAAAAATTTAGCCACATAACAACAACAAAATTAATAATAATAATAATAATAATAATAATAATATACCTGTTGAATTGAAGCAAAACACTTCAAACACTGCGCTTGTAGAAGCAGCCCAAGCAATGACTCCAACTTTTTTTTGACCGCACTTCTCATTTCCCTCAATTCGAGGAATTACAGCAATTTGTTCCTTAACCCAACCAAACCTGCATTTCAAGAACATTATATATATATATATATATATATATATATATATATATATATATATATATATATATAAACATAACAACATTATTTACTCATTATTAAATTAAACTATCCTAATCTTTATTGGCGTATATAGATATTTAAAATCTGCTTTACATAGAGCTACAGTGTGCATCCCAATATTTCACATTTAGCTTTCCATACATGCTTTTACAGGAAGCATAAACTCTGTACCTTTAGCTGTTCAATCTTTCTATGCCATTTTCATGTGTTATTAAGCTTTACAGTACCTGCATGTCTGTAAGCCTTTGCTTTGTGCCATTTCCACTTCAGCTCTGGTAGCTATTCTAACACCGAGAGATGAGCACACCTCTGCGGCTGCAGTGGCATTGAAGCTGTACTTTTTGTTCTTTAGCCTGGCCATAAAAACCCCAGAGATTCCACCAGTTTCTGGATAAACTGTATAAAAATTCAAAATAAAAGCATACAATAATGATACTTGATGCTCTGATATGGCATGAATCAAAAAAATTAAGACAAAAATGTATCCTTCTCAAGAATATCACAGCTTGATGAAAAATTAAAAACAAAACAAACAAACAAACAACAAAAGCCATGTATCTCCATTGTTTCTATTTTTATTTTTCTATTTAATTTCTGTGGAAATTTCATGATGAACGAACCAATAGAATAAAATCTCTCATTAACTTCTCCTATAAAGTTAGATTTTGGAGATACATGTTTTTTTTTGTTTTGTTTTGTTTTTTTGTTTTTTTTTTACAGCAACAATATTGTCACCTCTTACCTTGGATCTGGCTGGGATCTAGACTGACTGTGCAAAGAACCAGACAGAGAAGAGAACCCAAGGTAGAACCCACTGTAAGCTTCATTGCGTCCACAATGAGTTCTTGTTGTGCGCAGTGTGAACGTTCTTTGCTGGCTGCAGAGGGAAATGGGAAACAGGAGGTTGAGGATGATCTGTTAGGAGACCCTCTGTGTGAGAGCACAGGGGCAGAGCAAAGGGCAAAAGATGAAAAACTATAGAACTCTGTGCACAATACAGCAGGTTCTTTTAAAAGGTGTATGGATTTTCCAAGAATTTCCAACCACAGCAAATTCCAGAAGTATAGGTCAGAGTGTACAGTGCGTCTATTCAGCCACACTTTCTTAGACTGAAGGCATCTTTCTAAATGCAGGCGAAGATGTATGTACAGTGATGTCACTGATGATGGGCCGATGCTTGCAGAATGTAACCCAAATGTGTCTTAGTCAATATTTTAAAGATGAATTTTACATTTTGATTTGACTTATAGTACATTCTCGCTTATAGTACATCTTCTATCAGAAATATAAAACATAAAATAAGGCAAAACAGTCTGAATAAAATACAGTCATACAGCACAGTTTCTGTCTACAGATCTGTGTTTGCTGTTTCTACTTAAAAAGCATTTATGGAATAAGTGCTGTATCGTCAGTGTCCCAAAAAAAAAATCTTTGATTTCTTTTTCATTTTTATTTTTCTGCATAATTTGAGCTCAGCAGCTGCCCTTTAAGTTTTGCCAAACTTTCACGATGAATGGACAATAGAAATACTCCAAAAAGACTAGAAAATATGTCATTACATTAAGTTACCTTAAAAGTTAAGAAAGTTTTTGCCTTCTCCTGTAAAGTTACCATTTATTTTTTCTGGACAGCAACATTAATGTGCATACTATGAATCCCAGCCACACAGCACCAGCTCAACTTTCCTTCCCTTTTCCTCTATTTTCTACATACATCACTCTCTGCTCCTGTCTAGCTTTGTTCCTCTCATCCTATCAGCCCAGGAAGCACGCTTTCCACTGCTGATCAAGGTTCAAGGTGCTGATGATCGTGCTGTACTTAAAGCAACACTATGTAAGTTTGGGGGGTTTGGAGACCTTTGGCAGAAATATGTAATTGCACACAACATGAGGAAGAACATTTTGTAATGTCAGACACCAGGACCCCATCAAGTGGATGAATCTGACTTTTGCAAGCGTGTTGACAGAGTACTCCAAGAGAGCTTATTCAAAACCTGGTGAAGGATGTGTCTTCTGAGAATGTGAGTGAATTATCTGCTATTGTCGGCATATCAGCATAATGTTGTTTTTTCATTTGAAACCTAAACATCAAGCTGGATCTTCTTTTTGAGCCGGTGTGTGTGATGTCCAAAAAACTCCTGTCAAAAAATCTGTTCTGTTAGCCTAAGATTTTTAAATGATTTTATCAGGCTTTACAGGGCGACTCGCAGCAACACACACACCATATTTTAGTGTGTTCCTTTTTCTCCATACTACGTAATATATATACATACGTAATATTATTTCAGTTTTAGCAAAAAAAAGTTACATAGTGCTGCTTTAAATGCTGTCCCCGGCAGTTTTTCCAGCTCGTGATCGGACATTCATTTCAAGCTGTACCTACCCAAAAAGGCCAGTGTAGGACAGAATAGTTGACTTATATAATTCATGAAATAAAGTGCGTAGTGTCTTGTCCATACATTCAAGCCACAAAATAAATATCATAAGAATGAATCAAATGGAGCGGTATTTCTCTTATGTGTGGGTGAGGAACGGGAAATAGAAAACCCGGAGCGGAGTTGGAGCAGAATGATTGTTCGCTGATGCTATAACTATAGTTAGAGGGAGTAAGTCTATGTTATGTGTATCATGTCTTTAAGTTAATCCATTCCTGAGTTATGCAGGTTAGAAGACAGCCATGTGAACTGCCCGCAAAATGCAGGCTTTGGGTTCTAAGGGTTAAAATGCCAGTTTGGCCCATTAAAGAGTAAATAATGGAGACCAGGCCACCAGTTATCTTTATCTGGGCCCCTTATATTGCATTTCACTGGCTACTGCATTTCACTGGCTCTGTAAATTAGATACAATAAATTTGAATCTAATCTAAAATATTGCTGATTATTCAATTTTACACCCAGGACCCACAGGTATCTACATCTACAGCTTACTATACACTGGCCATTAGCCTGGTTGAGACATAGCAGTAACAACCAGACAAGTGGATTACATTGTCATTTTTTAGTTCATTTGAGGGCAAATTGTGTATCGGGTGGCCTTTAATGGCTTTTGCACTAGGGATCATAAGATCCTAGTTACAGCACTGAACCAAAGGCCTCACTAAATTAAGACTTTTTTCCCCTCCTGAAACAAAAGAGCTCATATGTTGCATTGACTGTGGCAATTTGTAAATTTGAGCCATCATGAGTAAAAGGTGAGGGATGGAAATGAGAGGAATTTCTTTATGAGGTTCTCATACTTTTCATAACTATTCCTGTTGTTTTTGTATCATTAATATTCCCCCGGGATGGATCAGCTCAGCATGAGGCGGAGATTTATTAGCCTCTTCTTTCTTGTCAGTGACACTAACAGGAGACTTTGCGTAATTGTTGTGCAGGCCGGCCTTCCTATGGTATTGTTTCAAACAGGAAAAGCTCTTATCAGAGGGACTCATTATCCAATCACATGGGGATGTCACAACCACGTCTCACGAGAAAAGCAGAGATCACAGCTCATAACTGACCCTATAGAGGAAAGCCATGTAGAACAGGAAGTCAGTATTACACAATTTGGGGCTGATGGATATACAGCCTAAAATTGTGACTCTAAACAGTGAAACACCACATATCTCAATATCTCTATTGGTGTGGCACCCAAACAACCATTTTTTCTTTTTTATATTTGCAATACAGTTTTTTTTCACTAGCGTTTAAACATTTTACACACTGATCATATCAGTTTTGTCTGAACAAAAATTCTTTTAAAAGAAGGAAAAAACATTCTTAACTTTTAACTGCAAGTGCAGTTAAGTGCAGTTAACCTGCACTTCAGTTCCTCATTGCATAAACATGGCTTACATATTCGTTTCAAAGTGTGATTTGAACAATTTAGAACAGGTACTAAATGATAAGTCTTAAGATTAAAGGGGAATTCTGCCAATTTACCAACATGTTCTCATGATTTAATTACTGAGATGTAAGTAATTCAGAAACTTACAGACTCAGATTTCTTAACAGTGGCAGTGATAGGAATCAGAAGTTGTAATGGCTATAAGGCAATACAGCCATTTTATTTACTTTCCAAAACCACCAGTGAAACTGCATATGTTTATTAATATGTAATGTTGATGATGGTAAAATAGCAGTAAATCTAAATCTGGACTCTATGTTTCAATGCCCTGGATATACTCTCTGCTATGACTGACTTAAAAAAAATATATGTTTTGGGCCAAAAGCTTCTCAAAACTATTATAAAACAATATCTCAGGAATTATGTTTGTAACCCCATAATGTAATAACCTTCTGTGAGGGAGCTTTTAAGGGCATTAACCCCTTAAAATTCCAGGCTTATTATATTCTAAGGTTTATTTTTCAGTAACTACAACAACCACAGTGCAGACTAGCTGAGCTGTCTTTTGGTTATAGAAATGTGTAATAAAACGTTGGGCCGGCTGGCAGGCCCTGGCCATTTAGAGGGGTTAAACACTTCAGACGTCTGGTTCCTATCACCTCCACAGCAAACAGTTTTGAAGTTTCTCTAGAATGGAGCATTTCACATCAAACCACTCTGAATTACTTTGTTAATCCTAACAACTTAATTAAGAAAAAGTTATGAAAAATCAAAGGAAAAGAAGTCCTTTAAGACATCACAGTGTCTCCAGTTCCTGCTCCTCACTGGCTCCCCCCCCCCTTCATTACACACACCTGTAGTAAATTGAGTTTAGTTACTCAATTACAACTTCATATACCCCCTTGGTTACTGGCAAAGTCATTGTTGTTGTTCTTACTGAGGTCTGAGCCATGACTTCTTTGTTTGACCCTTGCTTTATGTTTTGCTATTGGCTATATGAATTTGCCTGTGAAGTTGCCTGTCTGTTTTCTGACCCATGTCTGTGATGACTATGAGTTTTGGACTGCTCCTAATAAAGCTATAACTAAAAGGAGTTTTGAGGTTTTGATCTGTCAGTGACAGTATGCTGCTGTATGAGTGGCTTTTTCTCTTTTATAATGATAAACACACACATCATCTAGATGATTAACATCTAATTATTCTAATGCCGGACAACACAGACAAAAAGAAAAGGCCAACATTATTAACTCTGGCACAGCAATCATGGTCAAGGAATAGCCAAGCCACAAAAAAACATTAACTGGGCCAGTGGAACTCGTTCTACTTGCTCTGCTTGAATAATAGATCGGAAATGGAAGGGTTTAAGTTTCTGAGCCTACTCTATAGAGGAAGGAGAATCAGTCATGAGCACACAAGCACTGTGTTTTTAAAGTATCCAGTGCATTCAGACAGACTGTGACGGCTAATCAGACATGTCCACCACTGCACCAGTAGTCACTTAGTAGTTATTTTGAGAAACCACCAGCATTTGTGGTTTCAAGCAGCTGTTCCTTTGTGGTTTCAATGAAGATTCCTCTTCTTAGTCAAAAGACTTTCTGAAACACTGACTTAAATACTCAACAGCATTTACAATAATACATTACAACTGTAAATAATAATATAGTGAGATAATTTATCAGCTCTATTATATGGTGCAAGTATATTGCTTGAACGTAATGACTGAGAGGCCAGTGGGTGTAATTAGTTGTGGCAGGAATCAGCTTTGTTTCAGCCTCTTTGCAAGCATAGAGTTTCTACTCCCGCTGAGGAGGTATCAGATGGCCACATGAATAATTAACTCGGATGACCAGAGAGTGGGTCTTTGCAGGCTGAACTGCACGCCGATGGGGGTAATACCTGAACTTTGGCTCAGCATCAGCAGCCTGTTCAGGCTGCTTTAAGCTCAATCTGAAAACCCTAAAATTGGTCTATATAGACAGCACCAGGCAGCATGACCCTGAGGGCCACATCTCATGGGGACCTCCAAGCCCTGTCTCTGTCCAAGCCTCCGTCTCTGGACAACAGCATGTACAAGTCCTACTCGGTCAGCAGCAACAACATGGGCAGTCGGTTTGGGAAGGACAGCATGGAGGAGATGAAGGAAGGTTCCAAGCGGTCACATCCGCCACGCAGGCCTGTGCGAGCGGTCAGGCCAGTTAGTGCCTTCAGCGGCAGCGGTACCTTCCTCCAGATCAATCACCTGCAAGGCGAGCTGGTGCGCAAGAGAAAGGTGAGAGCTAGAGCCTAGAGAGGTCAACGCAAAGTTTTAAATCACTGAGTTATGTAATTAGGCTTAATATGAATTGAGCCTAATCTTGGACTAGTTTAAACTGGAAATCAGATGGGGTTTAACCTCTAGAAACTCAGATAGTCTAGGCTTAGGCTTAATCTGGAAATGGGAAACTGCTTTTTATCAGGTGCAATATCATCAGTAAATTAGCAAGAATTGAACAAATACATGAAGTAACTTAATATGGGATAACTTTTATCTTTGATTTCTTTAAATGTTGAAGTCTGGGTAAACTTGCAGACAGTCGTTTACAGAAAGAAGAGTCTATATTGTTCAACTCAGCATTGGTGGCTTTAAACAGTTCAAAAACATTGCCAAGCTAGATTGTGTTTAATGTGAGACCAAATATTCTCTTTAGGGTTTAAATCTGGACTCTGATCAGGCCAAAATCATAAATAAAAGCCATTAGTATTTTGTGCTTGTCCCAGTTTTGTATTTGTTTATTCATTTATTTTGCAAGGGAGTGTACATTTTTATAAATGTTTGTGCATTGGCAGTATCAGCCCAGAAATTCTGACATCGGTGTATCCCCAATGTGTTTTGGCTTGTTATTATGATAAAATAACTGTTTTGATTGTCATTTATTTTAAAAGTACAGCATGACGACTCAAAATCTCTTGCATTCCTTGGCATTCTCATTTCATCTATTTGATCAGATCATTTACTTTATCAAAACACGGACTACAACCGAGCTGAGCACTCTTCTTTTGGTATACTGTCATCTTCATGAAGCAAAAATTTACATTTGAACTCCTCTCTCTAAAACACTGCTTCTGGTTGCTGCTTTATGCTTCAGGGCCTTTTTCAAAGCTTTCTCTGTAAGAAAGGTTTCTTTGCTGACCTTCAAAACCACTTCATGCAAGACTTCTCCCAAGCCAGATGACTCTGTCAGATGCTGAGCAAGCTCTTCACTCAATTTCCTCCTGTCCCTTTAGGAAATGACCTTTATTATTCTAACCATCTCACAGGACATCTTTTTGTCTCCTTTAAAGTTTATTAGTGTTCCTTCTAATGTTACACTGCATTTTTACATCGAAAACATAAACTGCCCAGATAAACTGCTTTAAATTATTTTCTTAGCCTTTTGCAGACCACCATGCTGTGCATACAATATTTGTTATAGCTACCTTTAATGATTAGTCACTACAACAAACAGCCTAAGGTGATAACATTAAATCTCTATATCTGAACAATGCAAACTGTAAAAAACTAAAGAGCCAAGAACCTCTTCTGTGTTTGTTCTCTGAACTGTATGCCGAGACATGGAGTGTCCTGTGCCACTAATTTCCTGTCATTAGGAATGCGAGGACCTAAAGAAGGAGAACAAATATCTATCCAATGAGATACACATGGAGAGAATCATGATGAGAACAGAGAGTGAGCTGACCATGAGGAACCTTAGGAACCTCAATCAGGAGCTACAGGCCCAGGTTAAAGAGGTACTCAACATCATATCACAACACTAAGAGCAAACTTAACTAAACTTTGCAGCACACCACATTTTACCCATCCATACAGTGAACACACACACTAGAGAGCAACAAGCACACTTGCCTGGAGAGCAGTTGGGGGTTGGGTGACTTGCTCAAGGGCATTTTAGTCACATACTGTCGGCTCAGGGGATCGAACCGGTGACCTTCCGGTCACAAGGCTGGTTCCCTAACCTCTAGCACATGATTACCCCAATTGTTGGCTAGCATCGTGCTGAGGGATCATCCTATCAGACCAGAGAGAGCAAGGCCAACTGTGCTCCCCAGCTAAAGATCGCTGTAGCATCACCAGGGATCAAACTTGAGACCTACTTGATGATAGGGCTAATGCTTAGATATTGCACCACTCGGGAGCCCTATGGAGTTTTTGATGGAGCTTTTTGCATAAAAGCTTCCAAAACTTGACTGTTTTTAGTATGAGTGTTTGTATAAGGGAATGTTTACTCATGGAGGCTGAACTGGACTGCGACCCTCCAGGACCTGAACCATTGCCCTCTGCTACAGACTGATTAATTGACTGCCTTTGGTGTTATTAGCTGAAACAGAAACTGCACCTGAGCCAGCAGAGGGCATCTCTGTGCTCCAGGGCAGTGGAGGAGGCAGACATGTCACGAGGGGAGGCAGAAAAGAGTCGAACACTGGCAGAGGCTCGGGCAGTGGAGAGCAGGCAAGAGAGAGATGTGGTACTGGCTGAGAAAGCACGACTCAGTGAAGACCTGCAGCATCTCAGTAAAGAGGTATATAAACCCACACTGGCATCCTTGCAAATAACACATAGCGTGAAAATGACTTATTCCTCATGCATTTTTCAACGTTTCTGCATTATTCTCTTATTAAGATGTAAAACAAAGTCATTCAGAGTGGTTTGGTGTGAAATGCTTCATTCTAGAGAAACTTACAGAGTTAGAATTGTTCACAATGGTGGTGAAAGGAACCAGACGTCTGACGCATTAAATGTCTCTAAAAGCTCCCCCACAGAAAGTTATTACACGAAATTGTTATGAATACACTGCCTGATGAAGATATGGTTTGATGTTTTGAGACGTTTGTTTGTTCTGGCGTTAAACGTATAATTTAAAGTCTACTATTGGCAGAGAGGTACATAGAGGTTGTTATAAAGCAAAATATTTGTAAGGAAAACATTTTTTTCAGATTTACTACCATTTTGAAGTTATAAGCCAAAACAAAATACCCATGCATATGATATGGGTTCTAGTTTGAGCTGTCACCCCAACACAATACAAAAAGGCAACTGTACATGACCTTCAGCTTCCTTTAAACTGATTCTCAGCTGTCTTTCTACAGCACACCAATGTGCAGCTGCTTTTGGCCCAGACTGAGAAGAATTACTTTGAGACCAAGCTGAAGCTGGAGAGGATCTCTGGAGAGAAGCAGTTTCTGCTGGAGGAGAACAAGGGTTTAGAGGAAGAGAGAACCACACTGCGGCACAGGCTGAAGGAGCTGACAGAGGAGAATGCGAAAATCAAAGAAAAGTAAAAGCATTGTTCATTAAAGTCATATATCCCGTGATCTTGTTGTGGGTTTGTACTAACAGCTGCAGCTCCATGTCTGTAGGGAGGTGAGCTGGAGGCGCAGGGCTGCAGCAGCCGAGGAGCTGAGCGAGAGGGCCAGTAAGGCGAAGGAGCAGGCCGAGCAGGAGCGCAGGCTGGCAGAGAGAGAGAAGGAGGAGCGCATCAGCGAGTGTCTCAGCTGGAGGGAGAAACACCAAACCCTGGCAGATATCTTCAGAGCCCAGGAGGACCTCAAATCTCAGAGGCAGAACAAAGCAGTAAGTGTCACTACAACACCCTGATCACAGACTGAAGGGCAACCTAAACTTGATTAGTACTGATTTGATGTTCTGTAAATGACCACAAGAATGCTGATGAGTCTTGGCTGTGTAGAGTTTGGGTGGGATGTTATTGGTCCTCGTGTATTTTAATAGATGAACGTAGTTAATCAACTGCACATGCAATCAAAATTCTGTTCTTCACACAGTGTCAAACCAACATAAAAAGCTACTTCCTGTGTATGACTGAAAGTGACCAGAGGGTTAAGATCCTGAAGAACCATGACGGAACTCCAAGGAACTTCATGGTACTGTTGGTAGTTTTTGTCACACTTGGTTAAAGGACGTATATAATAGAAAACTGAATCTCCCTCTTTTTTTCCTAAAACAAAGGAGTTTATATTAATATGTAAACATTGTTAAAGTTCCAAAGCCCATCCATACGGTACATATATGGCAACTAACCTGCCAAACCTGTCCAGGAACCATCATATTCACATACACCGACCAGGCATAACATTATGACCACCTCCTTGTTTCAACGCTCATTGTCCATTTTATCAGCTCCACTTACTATACAGGTGCACTTTGTAGTTCTACAGTTACAGACTGTAGTCCATCTGTTTCTCTGCATACTTTGTTAGCGCCCTTTTACCCTGTTCTTCAGTGGTCAAGACCCCCATGGACCCTCACAGAGCAGGTACTATTTGGGTGGTGGATCATTCTCTGCACCGGAGTAACACTGATCTGGTGGTGTGTTATCCCTTACCTCTTAGGAAGGAGATCCGGTGTACATTTCGGCAGCTGAAGCCGGTAGTGAAGATTCAGACAGAGGAACAGGAAGGTACACTTACACTGCAGAATCACCTTCGTTCCATTTATCTTGTTTACTCTAATGAAAGCTTGAAAGTCCTTGATCAAGCAAACACTGTACAAGTGAATGTGTGACTGTTCCCTTTCAGAACCATGCTCAGGGTTGCTGCCCCCAGGGGAAGAGACTCTGGACCAGCTCACTTCAGTGAACTGTCACCAATGGGAGGAGACACTCCTGACTCCAACCCTTTAAGGAGAAGTCGGAAAGTGGTTGAATACTTCTGGATCCCCACCGATGAAGAATAATCAGAGAAGCCAGTTATTTACCTCAACTGAGAGACTTTAAAGTAGAGCAGATATATAAAAGAAATATAAAATCATTCACCCATCAGTGAATCTATCATTTTATAGCACATCAAATTAAAGAGGGTGTTTTTTCTGACCTGTAGGGCATTATACTTATTAAAGAATGTAATCTATGGTTGAGGTTTTATTCATTTTAAGGTCTTCACTTCTCAGACTAAACAATATAACTCTGCAGAATATCTCATACGCAGTCTTCAAAATAAAAAAAGCAGTTTTTGGTTACTAAGTGTTTCTTTACTGAAAGTTAAGCAATAACAGTGCAGGATACAAAGCACTAAAACAATCTTACCATGACATGATCATGAGCCATTTATATTCTTACGTATAGAACGCTGCAGAACACCTCAGAAAAAAAAAATTATATGGAGCAAAGCGAATGCAACTCAGCCCTCACAAATAAATTTAAAACACTCGTCAATAACAGGTGGTCTGTGCATTGCTTATTGACAAGGGCAAAAGCCTTTCATTTTTTCCAAATACCAAAATGCAGAAAGGGGGGGGGGGCTTAAAATATTCATCATGTGGGGTCATAAAAGGCCACATCACATCAGTCATCATAAAGATATTTTTCTCATCAATGGCTTAGGGTTGGACAGCAGGGGCTTTAGCTGACACCAAGCTGATTCTTTTGATTCTTCCAATAATCACCCTGCAAAGCATTTTAAAAATTTCATAAAGTCTTGGAATTAGGTAGTGTGCTGTGCAAGAGGTTCTAAATTACATCAGATTTTCTGGATTTTATTTTTCTTCAAGATAATAAATGTAGCCTGAGCGCTCTTCATAACCTTGCACTAAATTCCCATTCAGGAGGTAGAAATGGACAGCGGCTAAAAGGTAACAGCAACAAAAACCATCAATTACAGTTTCCTGGATTTTGTGGATCATAAATGTTGAATTCAACAGACACTGCTATTATCCTAGGATAACACTGAGAAATGTCCTGACAGCCCTGACCAATGTCAGACAGCCCCTCAACCAAAACTCAGTTTTGGGTCCTTAGAAACAGTATACATAGGTCTTAGAATAATGATTGCAATCAAACCAATCATTTATTTCTATGCCAACAAAATTAAGACTTCAGCCTACTTGAGTTTAGCGGTTGAGTGAACCATTTTCCAAATTCCCACATCTACAGCAGAAGCCAACTATTAAAGCAAACATGATGTAACTGAAGTAGCCTATGATGCTAGCAAAGACATAAAAGACTTAGATAAGATAATTCATGATTTGTTTTGTATGCTTCATGGGTTTAGCAGCAGAGCGTGTTGTGTCGGCAGAGCTTGTGTTACTGCAGTAGGGTGACCGGAGAGAGAGCGCTTCGCTATCTAGCAGATGACTCTGGGACTCTAGGCTTTGGCTGGTTTCTCAGTCACCCTCCTCCTCTGACTCTTCTTCCTCAGCTGTCTCTAACCAGGTCAGCCACTGGTTTACCTGTGAGACAATATATAAAAAGGCTTTACTACTTACACATATTGCTACAACTGTAGCATTATGCATGAAAACAGCCACTCCACAGAAAATATATCAAATTTCAGCAACATTAGCATATCTACAAATTTATCAGAAATGCAAACTGATAAATTCTTTATTTATTTATCTTAAACACATTCTTCTACTAGCTACACACTGTTTACTGCAACAATCTTTGGCAAAATATAGCAAGGGAAGCTGAAGGGATCTACAGGGCCCTCCAAAAATAGTGGCACCTCTGGGAAACTTGAGTACAACAGGCTTTTATTCAAAATATTACACAAAAACAAGATTCAACATTTAAGTCCAATGATTTTTTTTTTCCCCAATCTTGAAATATTTCTCAAATCCATATGTCCCACAACTATTGGTAACCCTAGAAATTCTTAGTGAAAGTGAAATCTAACTAAAGTACAGTCCCATTCGCATTTTATGTTATAAAGTTCACCTGAGTGATTAGGAACAACTAAATAATCAGCCATGACTTCTCGTTTCGCTGGAGATAAATGACGACACACTAGCCCAATTCCCCTAGTCAGGTATTACTATGAGAAAACAGAGAATTCAGCAATGATGTGCAACAAAAAGGCACACCATTTAGGAAAAGGCTACAAAATGGCTAAAAGCCCCACTATCACAGCAATTCTTTATAAGTTTACATCAACTGGAGATGTTAAGTATCTGCTGGGACATGTACATCTGTCTATATTGACCCCATGCATGGTGAGGGGGATGGTTTGAGTGGCCTAAGAATCTCCAAGTATAACAGCTGGGGAACAGCAGACATTAGGTCTTGGGGTCAGAATGTCTCCCAAACTACAATCAGAGGCCACCCACATATCCATCAGATTTTTGGAGGGTCGCCAAGCATCTTGAATGGCAGACATTACTAAAACTTCCAGTGGGATGATCAGATGAGACCAAAACAGATTTTTTGGCAACAAAGGGGGTTTTGACGTAGACACAAAGACAGCCATGCAAAAAAAGTACCTCATCTCCACTGTACATGGTGGCGGATCTGTGATGTGAGGCCCTGGATACACTTTGGACACATAGTATCGAAGACCATCATGTACCAGCAGATATTAAATAAAAAAAAAACCTGACCACACCAGCCAGGAAACAAACTGGGCCATGGCTGGATCTTCCAGCGGGACAATGATCCAAAGTACACCTCAAAATCAACAGAAAAATGATTCACTAGACCATAGAATCTAGGCTTTGCCATGATCTCCCCAGTCCTCTGACCTAAACCCCATAGAAAACATGTGGGTGAGCTGAAGAGGAAAGTCCACAAGCAGAATCTGAAGGATCTGGAGAAATTATGTATGGAGGACTGGTCTCAGATCCCTTGCCTGTGATCTCTAGTCTTGTTAAGCATTATAGGAGAACATTCAGAACTGTTGTATTTTCAAGGCTGCTCAAAATAGTAAATCAAGGGGTGCTAACAGTTGCAGCACACAAATTTGAGCACAGTTTTAATTATGATCATATTTAGTTTTTTCTTTACCAGAAGCACCAATATTTGCAGAGGGCAATGTTGCAACCAGCTGTTACCTGAAACAAAGCTTTTCCTTTTCCAGGGAATTCTTGGGTAATATCTTCTTTCCACGCAAGGAAGGCATCTTCTTCAATGATCTCCATGTCATAAAAGTTGACAAAATAGCGCAGCAACATACCTAAATGGGGAGGGAAAAAAGGAAAGCTTGGGATATCGTCTCCTCCCTTTATCCATACCAACTCACTTACGTACCAGCAGCTACTGTAAGCAATGTACCTTTGGGGAAGGCATATGTGTTGCAGTGCACCTGCAGAGCATAGAGGGCACTGACTTGCAGGTCGGTGTGGTCATGGAGGAACTTCTGCATGACTGGCTTAAAAGCCAGAAGCAGCTGTTTCTCCTGGTCCAGCTGCTCTTTAGTGGGAGTGCACAGGTGCTCGTCACCCTCAGACAGACACAGCTCAGCTGAGATGTACTGCAGAAAGCTGTCACACAAATGTGGGGTCAGTTTCTACAGGAGTGCTGTTTTACTGCTATAAAACAGTAAATAACAATTTGACACAACTAATTGTGTGTGTCTGATAGAAATTAGCCCTCTAGAATGTGACATGTTCATTAGTCTAAATGATCAGAGAAGTGGTAGTCATGCTACAGCATTAACATATAAAACTGTATGAAAATCAATTAATGCTGTAATAATTTTAAACAGAACAGACATGTATTTCAGGACATTGTTCTGTACCTGGTCATGAGAATGTTGACAAAACCCTTGTCTGTGTGGAGTTTGGGTGAAATGTTGTCTTTGATCCACTTGTAAATGCTCTGGGGGGAAGGATCTGCTTTGATCTGCTTCAGAAGCTCTTTCTCCAGCTTCAGGAGGGGAAAGAGAAAGCTTAGGCCCTTCCCCTCCAGAATCTCCAACATACGGTCTTTATTCTGGTCAATTTCTATGGAAAACAATGAAGATCACATTTACAAAATCTCCAGGTAAAAAGGTCCTCTCTTCCCAAGCAATGTTTCACAAGAGAGAACTGGGGAGAAGCAAGTAGCACAAATATAGCTTTCCCAGATTATTCATAAGTTCATTATTTTAATCAGACACAACAGTCGTTCTTTGATGACAATATATACACACACACACACACACACAACACACACACGGTGATATATTATATTCTGAAGGGGGCTACACACCAGGGAGCATCTTCTGCATGTTGACCTTGCTCTGCTGGAAGAGGTCAGCAAGCCACTCACGATCCTTCAGCTTGGATGCTTGCTGCAGGCAGAGCAGAAAGAGGGGGAAGTGGGTGCCATTCTCCAGAGGGTGAGCCAACTCTGCAACGCTGACCATCTCTGTAATGACCGCCCGGGCTGCAAACTGGGCCAAATAAGACTTCACCAGCGGGATATCAACCTCGATCTTAGGACACTGGTCCAGCACATTCAGCAGAGCCTGGGGGGGAGGAAATAACCAATGACCTGACAAGCAAGATATTAGACAGCATAACTTTTACAACATGAATCTACTTCATATATTGATAAAATGGTGCATCAATGCTACAAATATTTTACAGTTCTACTATATTTATGCATGCACGTACCTGCATGAAGTTCTCTCCTGTGACGAGTCCTTCTGTGCGCAGGGAGTGAATGAGAGTGCTGGCCTGTTCCTTATCCTCGTCAGATCGCTCCAGAGAGCACAGAATGATCTTACTTATCATCTCTGACAGGAAATGTTTAGGAGCCTTCATATCTCTCACCCCATTTACTGCATCCTCCAAGTTCTTGCTGTTCAAGTACTCCGTCACTATGGTTTCCTAGAAGAAAGTATCAGAGTTTTGATGTCTGTGGTGCCCTTGCCTAACCGTCAAACCATAACAAAACTTTGGAAAAAAAGACAAATACTCTTGTGATGAGGCAAGAAATGTGGTCGGGGATAATAACAACAATAATTATGATAATTTAAATTATTTTTAAAAATATACTGTACATACTGTCATTTTTAGCAGTTCTTCTTTGGAAGGTGCAGGTTTCTTACTGGTCTTCTGAGGCTTCTCTTGGATCAAAGGAGGATTTGTTTTCAGACCAAGCTGTGGAGGCTTAGGTGAGAGAGGCCAGATATGAGAGGTAAACATACAAAAAGAACAATTAATAAAAAAAAATAAATAAATAAATAATAAAAAAAAAAACCCACACAACACACATCCATATAATCATAGGAAATGCTTGACAGAGCGTGGGATGAAACAGGGTAGCACTGGGTGTTACCTGTCCGAGTGGCGGTGTCTGAGTGCGGGGAGGCTGAGCACTGGGTGGCATCATAGTGGGGATCTGAGGCTGCAGCTTTGGCACTTGGTTCTTATTCAACAAGAACGACTGCGCCGGTCTCAGACTGATCTGTGGAATAGATCACAAACCTAGTAAGCGCACATAGATCAAAAGAGGGGAGAACTGCTAAAATGTTGCACCCTCATCTCTCATAATCGCAGTCAATGGACCAGATGTCAGTTACAGAACAGAGGAGAGAAGAAAATGAAAAAAAGTGGTGAAAATAAGGGCAGAGAAAAGAAAGAAAACTGACATCCAATAAAAGTCCTCAGAATAACGCGTCTTTTTATAATCACTGGGTGCAGGTAGCTACAATAAGCTTGTGTTCCCTCCCTGAGGTTTACCTCATCTGCATTCAGCTGCCCCTTCTTGAAGCGAGGGGTCATGTCCTTGGACTGAACTTGCTGCTGGGTGGAATGGTTCTGGTTTTGGCTGTGAAAATGTTGATTCTGTCCCTATGGGGGAGAAAAGGCCCACTTGCATTAAAATAATCTATGAAAGTGACTCCACTTGCATAGACGATCCTGTAAATGTGGTTACAGATATACATATAATGGGCAGTATTGGTTGAAAAGAATTCATGAAGGTGAATCAATAAAAACACTCAAGCCTGGAGCCTTAGAGATACACCTACCTGATTAGACTTCATAAAAGGCTTAATGGCCAAGTCAAACTGTGACTGTGGTGGGTTAGCCATGTGTCCATTGAAGAGTGGGTTTGTACGATGACGTCCCAGAGTTGGGGAGAATCTATCCTGGATTACTCCTGGACCAGTTCCTATTCCACTGCCTACAAAATACAAGTCATTCATATAATTTATATATTTATATGTATTGCTACATACAATACACACTTTTTTTTTATATATATATATATATATATATATATATATACACACACACACACACACACACACAGACCTAATCTAGAGATGTAAAAGAAAAATGCTTAGAGAAAAGTTTTTTTTTGTTTTTTTTTATTTAAATGCTGAGCTCACCAGGCATCTGTCCAAACATGTCAGCCAATCCTCCAAGAGTTTCTCTGTCCAGTTTCATCCTGGCTGGCATGAAAGGTCCTTCTAGAAAGAAGTCCATTCTCATTCCCTGATACATGGGTGGAATGAAGACACCCAAATCCTGGAGACATTGGTGCACAATACACAATGGTTGAGAAAAGTCCTGAAGTAGTGTTTTTTGCATCAAAGTATTAGACTACCTAAGACTGGCACATATGCACATAAGCACAGGAACAACCAATTCACCTTCACTGCATCCTGACGAATCTGGTTAATCGTCTTTGGTCCGTTGTCGATAAAGGCTTTGCGAGGAACCCAATTGTTCTCTCGCAGCTCCACTGTGTCTTGCAGTAGGAAACGAATCCTGGCTGGCAAGTCCTTGTTGTTCATTAAGGATTGCATACGGCCAAAGTACTGATCCATTAAAGACTGCAGAATACAACAGCATTAAGAAGGTGTGCTCCAACACCAGTGAAAAAAATTATACAAATTGTTAGACAATAAGTGGTGCTACTTATATTCAGTTATCTAGTAAACTTTAGTACTCTATTTAGCTATGTAAAGCACTAATGAGAGTTCCTGACACAGGACTTTACCTTGGCTTTTTCATGATCGAGTCTAGGCCCCACAGTTCTCATTATCTGACAGAGGCACTCCAGATCCTCCCCCATATCCTTGAGCTGTATTCTCTTCTTCTTTTCCAAAAGCTAAAGAGAAGACAGCAATACAGATTGTATGGCACATCAAATCAAACTCCTCACAACAGCTGAGACAAAAGTCAAAAATAACATTTTCAACATACTGTTTTGATGCACTTATGAAGGATAGATTCATGGATGAGATCAAGTTTGCCAAGTTCCCCAATGAATTTAATGTTTCCGAGCATCTTGATCTTGGCAATGGCACGCTGCTCCTCTTCCTCAGAAGTGAGAGGGCTGTCTTTTTTGTCGTAGACTAAGAAGGGGAAAAGGGAATAGTCAGAAAGCTATACAACAATGCTCAAATCAAATCCAAAAACAAAGAGAGGGAAATGTCAGCACTCACTTTCAACATTTTTGGTGCGGTTCTCAAATTCATCTTGGAGTTTGGTGATCAGAAGTCTTCTGAAAGTCTGTAAGACAGAAGTGCAAGGGAGTGAGACCAGTGTGCAACCAAACAAGGGTATACACTTGGGTTATAACAGTACTGTTAACTTACTGTGCTCTGCTTTTGAGTGGTTTGAATCTCTGGTGGGCTGTCAAAGTTTGGTGCATCCTCTGCCAAACGCAGACATAGCTGGGCATAGAGTGAGCTGTATTTTGGCTCTTCTAGGGCTTTGTCTACGATCTACAAAGTAGAAAAAAACATCTATAATCTAACCTAACAGATACAGAACATAATGTGCAGCAACTGGGCATTCACATACAGGACAGTTACTGCATATAAAAGTAAGATTTATGAGAAAACTGAAATAACTGCAAATTAATGCTTTTTAGCTAATGCCTTTACCTATCAACATAGCCATATCTTTAAAATCGTCTTTACTTTATCAACATTTTATCAACTCATACTAGCATAGTAGGAGCCAAACAGAATGTTATTAATATGGGTCATTAGTAAGAAAATAGCACATGGCTGATTAACAGACACTACTCTTTCCACTTACCAGCAAGATGACTCCCTTGAGGACAAGCTTAGAATCTACACCCACATTGAGGAGCTCAAGGCATAGCTTGTCAAACTTTTCAGGGGTCAGTTTATTAAGTATCCTACACAAAAGAAAGACCAAAGGCAAAGTATTACCACTAAACAGATATGCACTTATCAAAGCATGGTAGCGTCAGCTGACTCATTACCAAAACACACAGCTTAGAAAATCAAACAAAAGGACAAAAAAAAAAGAAAATCAACTTTATAATCTCCCCTGAAGTAATAAAACTCATCAAGATACTTACCCTCTTACTTTTCTAAATATTGCATCATGATGTTCTTTTTCATTGGAGGAGTCGACATCTCGTCTAGTGCTTCGTGAAGGAACCCATCTCTGAACGCTAGGCCCTGGGGTTTTCCCCAGGAACTCGCTAAAGTGGGTGCAATACAGATACCCATTACAACAACGAAAACAATAGTCTACATTATGTGGTAGGTTTCATTTTTATCTTATTTGTTTATAACTACTAGTACTGTCTTACTTATGTTCACATTATTTTACATTAACAAAATAACCAGCAGCAATAATGTCTAGAACGTGTTGCACACTCACCTGTTGCCGGCAGTCTTGGGATAGTGCTGAGGTGCACCCCTACCTCCTCCTCCGCCCGAAGAAGCACTAGAATAATGAGAGACAGTGATAAACTAACTTGATCATTCTGAATACTTGTCTGACAATTTTGCATTTACCAATATAATAAATGCTACCCTAAAAATGTGTTACTATTACTAACACAATATATGTTGATGGAAATATTTGTGTTGCCCCCTCCGTCGGTTCTAAAACCCAATGGTTGCACCCAGAGTGGGAAAGAAGATCAAGCTACAGAACTGCTAAGAGTAAAAGCACTTTTAGCTTGTGTTTAGCACAGGTTATGGCATGTTACTGTATAAAAAGACATTTTAAAGCAATGTGTTTGGGCTACACCAGAAGAGATTGTATATGTTTACTTAGCAGCTAACACTGGTCGTACTGTGGAATCAATACTGTGCACCCACTGTTGTGCACATGCAAATGTTTACAGGTACACAGAGTCATGCATAGAGTTAAGCAAAGCTAAATGTTCCTCATGAGAGTGAAGATATAAGCAAAAACACTCACTCTGCCAGCATAACTGCTACAAATGTTAGCATTACCCCCACAGCTAACAAATAAACATTACTCAGCACTGCCCTCTAATCATATTAGAGCACCGAGCTAGACATGCTTTCCTAAGTGCCAAGATGTTCCAACAAATGTATTTACTGCTTTCTTTTATTTATATTTAATTGCCTCAACCCAACATACCCAATTCGCATTTTGTTTGTTGCTGCATAATACGACTGTGAAATCTAACGACTGTGGAAAGTGACTGCTGGCAGATTAAATAATTGTGATCATCTCAAATAACTGTGATTAGGTCATTACGTTATAATTGTGACAGGGGTATTTACTGTATACTTATCCAGTGCACAGATAGCTCTGGATTTGTAATAATAAATGTACCATGCCATGAAACTCTCCAGTAGAAAACTGCTATTTGAAATAAACCGTTCTGGTTAAAAACAACAAAAACGTAAACTTAATTTTTGAAACGTTGTTTTGTTATGCAAGAGCAGGAGGACCCCTCAAAACTAAAAGATCCCCATTATAATGTGTTCTACAGAAAACCTGTCAAAAAAGTATGAACAACATATTTGGGCACATTACGGTCATCTGAAAGCTCACTATTCTATATTATTGTTGCACTATATTTTTGCTAACTGTAGAAAACTGCATGAATTTAGCCATTTTTTAATTTGATTCCTTTTAAGCAACTGAAAAAGCTCATATGATGTATCCTCTATGCAATTTTCATGGAAACTTCAATATGCAAACAGGCAACTTGCCTTAAAAAAGCCTCTGGCACGGACAATTCACATCAGCACCAAGAGACAGTGAATACGTTTACATGCACTTAATCTGACAACTGCTGAAGATCCGATTTTGTCAGTAACTTGTTCAGTGCATCTAGCTTTGGTAATCAGACAATGGTAAAACTCTGGGTATATACAAGTCAGGCAATAATCAGATTTCTGCTTTGCAACTGCCCATAAACTAACAGAAGACGACATGACAAAAAGGTAACATAAAACTGAACTAAAACCCAGGTCTCTTAATTGGTTTTCTAGAAATCCGATAAGAGCCTTTATCCAATCTAAAAAACTGAAGTATGCCGTTTACATGACCACTTAAATAAATCAGATAACTGCAAATATCTGATAATGACTGTATTACTAGTGTGCATGCAAAAGCACTCAGTGCCTTATAGTTGAAGACGCTTAAGCACATCACCTGTCCCTTTTTGAACAAAGAACTGACTTCATAGATGCGTGCACATGAAAACACATTCTCACAAATCTGCAAAGACTTGCAGAGCTTGATATCAAATAGATAGGTACTTTTGATCAAGCATAAACAATTAGTAGCTAGCCTGATTAAAGACATCAACCACACACAAAGAAACCTAACGTTATATCTACTACACACCTGACACGAGAAGCACCCCCTTCTGCAATCACACTCTCCACTTTGGCGGCTTGACAACGAAGAATCTTCGAAAGAATAAGAATCAAAGGGCGGGGTGGGGAAAACCGGGCTGTGCAGGAGAGATGAGGAGAGCAACAGAGATCAGCATCACAGTAAAACACACACTTTCAAACACTGACAAATACAACGACTGACGTGTTACATGGAGTTAGCTATAATAAATCCAAAAACGAGCACCACTGTTTACATAGCTGGCTGTCAAACCCGTTCTGTTATCACTGTTTAGGCCGACTTTTCCCCTAAACGTCCTCCTTTACAGAGGCCAGGCTTCAACAAACAACTGGGAGGCACAAAAGCAGTAGCTAGCTAGCTGAGTGGTTAGCATTAGCTACCTCAGGTTACATAAGCTACCAGCATTTTTATTCTTGACCAAACAAGCATCTAAAAGTGCTCTACAAAACGTACTGATTTGGAAAAACGGAGTAGGCTATTCGCACTAATATAATGTTGTGAAATGACTGTAAGATAGGATCAACCCGATACCAACAAACAAAGCTAACGATAGCTTAGCACTTCCTTAGTATGCTGTGATTTCTGTTAGCTAACGTTAGCTTTGCTTCGCCACAGACAGCCAACGTTAACTAGTTAACGAAAGGCTTTAATTTTCATCGGCTGCCCGGCTATTGTGTAGGATCATGACCAGCAATTACACGAGGCTTTAGACCCCCGATGTTAGGACTCTGCTAACTGCTTGCTGCCAAACACAAAGCCGGTATCGTTACAACCCCTCTACCGCGACGCCATTTTCTGCAGTTCTCCTCACTCGGTCCAGCCGGCGCTGGCACTGAAACTAGGTTAGCAGCCATTTTGAGAGGTTTACCTAAACTTCGAGAAAATTACCGGTCTTACCTTTACCGGGGCAACCTCAGTTTTGAAGATTTTTGCTGTACAAAAAGAGGAACAAAAGAAGAACTAAAAAGAAAAGGATGTTTTGAAGTATAACTACCGAACTACACGACAGAAACAGAGCGCTGTACCACACCGCTCTCGGAGAATGTACTAGCTAGTTGGCTAAACAGCCGTATGACTGACATGACGTCAGCCGTGAACCCGATCTGTATCTGCCAGACTTGCAGTAATTTTCCAGTGTGGTGTAAAACACTGGGGCTCTGATCCACATCTCTCCGCAGTCTTTTATGGAATTGCTGCAATGCAAACACTCATTTTGTTGTTTGTACTTGTTATTCACACTCATATGTTCACATAGTGTTATATTATGACGTGGGCTGTAGTATGAAATAATTAGAGTAAACTATCTGCTGGCAGTAACACTTCTATCGAGATCTCTAAGTTACTGCATTAGCCCCGCTGATCAGAGATGGCAAATAGTCTTATAACCTTCATCAGTGGGCTACCAAATAAAGATCACTGGGCTTCTATCCAAATAACAGTGGAGTGAGATCTCATACGTATAGCAATAATGACATGTGGGACATCCAGTTGCTATATATACGTTTCCCAGGCCAAATGTTGCATAGGTTTTTTTTTTAACCTAAAAGAAGTAAACACAACTTCTGCAGCAAACTATTTTAAAAACGCACATGTGCTTTATATTTGATTTACTCAAAAAAATACAAAAAAACAATACCATGGCACTTGCAGGACACCTTCCATTTGTAAAGTATAAGAACTTAAACTCTTTAGGCCTTAATTGACATGTGAAGACTGATTAGGCAGGTAAAGAACTGTCACTAGGAATTTTCATCTACTGGCCAGAAAGCCATGCAAAACCCCCATATGACAGCAAAGGACCTGCAGGAAGGTTTAGCTGACACGTGGTGTATGTGGTGGTGCTACTTTGCAGCGATGTTTGCGCAACATGGTCTGCATAGAAGAGTCATCAGAAGGAAACCTTCAACCTAATCACAAAAGTCAAAGTATGAAGTGTGCAAAACAGCACAACATAATTATGGAAACAAGTGCTGTGGACAGCTAATGGAAGTTTTCCACAATCTCTAATCACCAAAGATAGTTTTGGAAAAAAGAGCAGCATTTGATGAAAAGAACACCTTGCCAGCTGTTAAACATATTATGCATTGGTGTTGTGTGGCAGCCAGTGGCACAAAAAAATTTGCACAGTAGGAAGATGCAATCAAATTGTCAGAATTGTGAGTTAGTCAAGAAACTGAAGCTGAAAAGAGGCTTGCTTCTACATCAGGACAACAGTCCCAAACATAACTCAAAATCAACCATAAAGTACTTCAAGAAATCTAAGCTAAAGCTTTAAAATCTACAGGTAGATCTTAAGCTTGCTGAACATGCAAAGGGGCTTAAGAATGATGCAGAACTAGAAGCATTCTGCAAGGAAGAGTGGGTGGAAATTCAGGGATTGACAAAAAAAAAATAGGTATCCCATTGATTCTTTCTGGACAATTTAGATTAATTATGTACAGTGAATCAAAAAGATAGATTTGCTTGTTGTGTGTCTATTGAACCAAAGAACAATATAAACTGATGCACCTAATAGTCCCCCATAAAAAAACTCTATGCACATCAGAAGCAATGTATAGAATTGTGCATTCTATAAACAGTTTTAAAGTTCTCCTGTTTGAAAACAATTTTTTGATGACAGCCCCCTCCCAAAGATAGGCCCAGCATCTGGGCAAAGACTTAAGTGTTCAGGCCAAGTGTGAAAACTCCCTAGCATAAAAATGAAGATATACTTTTTTCTGTGCTGTCTTTGGCTTCTGTTCAGGGTACTTTTGTCCATGTCTATCAGCCGCCATCCTGTAAGAATTAAGTCAACCTGAAATCAAAATCATGGACTTTTTTGCCATGTCTCTGATTCATCATATCATATAATTTAAAATACAAAATTCCTGTTCTCCCATAATCTTTCACAATAGAATCAAAATGTATTGAATATGTATATGGAAATACGTCACAGTATGGAAGGAAACTGCATTATGATTTTGGATTCATATTGACATGGAAGATGTAATCAATAGTGTATACTATTTTGCAAACCTGAAGTAGCATTCTCTTCAATAGTCTCCTTGCTACTATGAGCTTGTGAAGCAGCTTATCATGAAACAAGTTCTGTGGTAAACCCAGACATTCTTTCCAAGACATGTGGTAAAGCCTGACATTCTTTTATAAGTCATTAAAGACAGAGTGAATGTTACTCACATAGACAAGAAGAACTCTCATTTTTGTGGCCTGGGGAGAATAGATTTCATCTGAAACTCATTTATAACTGTTTCCATTGATTTTAGGTGGGCACTGTTCTCAAACAGCTTAGTCGGAGAATGCTGCATGCACATCCTGAAATACCTGTTATGAAAAGCCAGTGGAAAATCAGTAGAGCTTTACAAATACATATATAGTAAGCTAATGCCTCTCCTATAACCTGGGCTGAAATTTTGAAACCCTTGTTGACAAGAATACAGCAGCAGTGTTATCAGTGACACTTATTAGACAGTACTACTTAGTTTCAGACATACCCGTGAAAACATGATGTATTCACTCACAAAAACATGTACTCAAATATGTGTATATCTTATTCCATTTGCAAATCACTTGCTTCAGAATGTGTTCAAATGCTACATGGATTTCCCACTTGCTGTAAATACTTCCTAAAATGTAATGAAGTCTTTCAGCTGTACACATCTGAGTAACATTTAAATTTACCTTAATATAATAAAGCAATGAGCCACAAGAAAATAAGCCCATATGTTCACATTGTACCTAAATCCTGATGTAAGCATGCTAAAATCACTTTAATGCAAGGCCTCCAGTGGTTTATTTCTTTTTTTAAAACAACAAAATATAATAGGACAAAAAAGTGGTATTTCGTTAATAAATTATGAATAATAATCACAAAAAGTCATTCTTCTGTCAAGCTACGTAGTTCATTAAAGATGATGGCTATGATTGCCAAGTAACACAGTGGTAAAATGTTATTCTATAAGCTGCGTAATGGTTTTATTGATTATTCTCCAGTAGCTTTGAATGTGACTTTGGAGCCAGAATTATCCATTTCATAAATAACATTTCGAGAGTGGAAAAATACTCATGAGCTCAAGAGACCTATCAGTTTATATGGAATGGAAAATTTAAAGTGCTGAGCACTGATGAAGTACTGCTAAGCCCTTTTCCCCGAACACAGTCATCAAAGAGTTGCACCCTGGAAACAAAATAGCTCTGAATACCTTCTTTAGAACCAGCTCCAGTACAAACTGCACTTGGAGACAACTCAAACACTCAACACACACTGACTTCCCACTATAGCAACAGTAGCACCAGGACAAAAGCTGTGAGATACAACCTTAAAAATGAAGAAACATAAAAAGCTCACAAATTTGGACAAAATAAAACTTGTGAAAAACACTTGCTGGTCACTATGAATTCACACTATAAACAACATTAAACACTTTCTGACCAGAGTATGTGAGTGGAGTGGAGACATTTCCACTCCTCGCTCAAAGTGTTCTGTAAAAACCGTATAACTCTGGTGTGGCATTGTTTAATGCCCTGTATTTAAAATAAAGGGCTCACTAAAACATAAAAAAAAGCATAGTTTAGCATTTTAATGTAAAAGACTGTACAAAACAAAACATAACTGATAATCCAAAAAAGGTGAAATGATTGGAGGGGCTCAATTATATAATTTATGGCTGTTATTAAGCAGAAAACTAGTTAAACATCCTGTGCTTCACAGGCTTGTTCTGGTAGGCCTGTGAAGTAAAGCCCTTCCGGTAAAAAAAACGCACATGTTTTTAACACAATCTTTTTTAGAATTTGCACAGCAAAATGGACAACAAAGGTGTAATTGTGTGTAATGTCTAGTGATCTGTGAGAATCTCCAGTTTAGCTCTGCTGAACAGTTCTACAGTGCAAATGCTTTGTGTGTGAGCTCTAGCAGTCACACTGTGGTACCGTTCATGCACAGGTAGTCAGTGTGGGGGAAAGCACTAACTCGTGGGATGGGGCAGTTTTGGAGTGATTTTGGAGTGAGAGAGAACACTGCCACTCCAACTTTCTAAAATGGAGCTCCACACTCTGTACAAAATCGTTGCACCACTCCCTGCACTGCTTCCACTCCACACCACTCTGATTCTGACAGGTACAAATAGACCATTCAAATCTTTAGAAAGGACTTATAACTTGTAGCATATGGGAGTCTAATCTCAAAACAGAACAGAGATGAACTCACTATCATTCAGAAAAAATGATCTATATAAAATCTGTATTGCTTGTCAATCCAATTTAATACCTTGCCTTGTTACAATTTAATGTTGCCACTCATATCTCATATCTCGTCTCTTGGAAAAAAACAAACTTCTGTGTAATTAAGCACAATTGCTGTTGTATGAAATTTTCAAACAGTGTAAAGTTTTTAGTTTTTTTTTTTTTAAAAAAAAGATGTCAACGATATGTAGATTCATAAAAAATTGGGGGAAAAAATTCAGTGTAGCAAACATGAAGATAAAATTAACCATGAATTGGTTACTTGGCTACTCAGTCGATTTTTGAGAGTCCCTCTGTTGGAATCTGTTGAAAACATAATTAAAGGATATTATCAAAAACTGGCAGTGCAAATGAGAATTGACAGAGTAGATTCAATGCCCACAAAGTATCTGTACAGAGAATACTATACTTATCAGATTGAGTGTATTAGTAAGTAAAAAGATGCACGTGATTCAAAGGTTTATTTTATTTTTATGGAGGAAGGAGAGATTTTACATTAGCAGTGGTTTTCAACTGTTGCATAGCACCTGTCAGTGAGTCTGGAGACATTTTCTTGCCGATGGGAAGGTGTTTATAGAAACCTGTTTCAGTTGGAACATTCATTATTTACATCATCAATAATGCTGACTGAACCAGTTTTAGAAATGACTGTGCAAGCCTGAGTCGTGACCCTACTGCAGATAAAATCATGCTGTGGATTGCCATTATTTCTGTTTCTCCATACTGTATCTTGCAATCATTTGGATGAAAATAATTCTTTGTCTCATGTTCACAACAGTTTGTCCCAGAACACTTCTGGCTCATCTCTTTAGTACTTCAGAGCAA